CCCCAAAACCCCAAAACCCCAAAACCCCAAAACCCCTGTCCATTTCAATTCAATTGAATTTATTTTAATTTTACAGATTACCTTGCAGCAATTCCTATCTTAAAGATGGGTCAAATTTGAGGATTTTAAAGCATTCTGCGAAGGCTTCCTTTTATATGCTCTCAAAGATTTCTTTGGAGACCCATTCTGAGCCTTGCTGAAATTAATCTGCTGGGTATACAAATTATCAGGAGTCACTAAGGTCGTTGATAAGTTCTTATGAATCTCAAATTTTGAGTCATTCCTATATCAAATATTTAGAGAATGAACAGTTGAGGGATTAATTCGTAAAATTGTTCAACCCCAAAAGAATTTTACTTAAAAGCTTACTTTTTACTATTCTTCCTTGTCTCTTTAGAAGTTGGAACAGACGCAAGAATATCACTCTGATTAGAAGATGCTTCTGATCTTTTGTTGCCTTGACTTCCATTACTACTCTGTTCTTTACTTGAGACTATCTGAAAAGTACTACTTTCCAGATAGTCTGAAGATGAGTAGAAAGCAGGCGATTGAGGAATTTTGGGATCAAGAGGTTTGGATCCTCCCATCACTTTCTTGGTCTTTGGCTTCACCATACTTCCTTCATCTTCATTGAATAAGTAAAAGACTTCATTTGTGAGAGCTTTCATGTATGAAGGAATTACTTCAATATCCTTTGCAAGGTCGGAGGGTTTAACATCAATAGAGCTCTTATTATCTTTCTGGAGGTCTTCTTGTCAGAACGACATTCCACAAAATGTAGGAAGATCGCTCTGCTTCTTGTGTTCTACTAAAATGTCTCTCTTCTTCAAGTCTTGCTTCTTGATCATATTAAGGAGATCTTCAGTTTCAGCGAGTTGGCTCACTGTAGATTGTAAAGTCATGAACTTAAAGGAGTCAAGCTCGTCTATTCTGTATGTAAGGTCTTCAATCTGTCTCTTCTGGGAGAGGATTAAGTTCTCATTCCGGTGAATTACCTTCTTGAGATGAAGTTCTCTATCTTTCAAAACTTTTAGATCCGTTTCTAAAATACTTCACTTATTTATAAATCTGCTTATCAGATTCTTGCTTGGCAACCATCTTCGGACAGCACAGATCCAAAATCTGACCGAGGTTTTGTAGGAGGATAATCTTGCTCTCCTTGTTAGACCTGAGATGATCGTTTTCTTTAAGCAAGGTCTTCAGGTCATTCTCCTCAGGAGAATTTTTGTCAAAGTAAAACCTTCTCTGATAAGGGTCGAGGATTTGCTTCTGTAGGATTCTCCAGAATTTCTTAATAATGTTCATGATCATGTCAACATTTTCTTTAGATTCTTTAAGTTTTTTCTGGTATACTTTTTCTGTGTTCTCAAGCATGTAAGCCAACTTCTTATTCTCTGCAGCTAAATTTGTTCCTCTTGGAATATCCGGGTTGGAACTAGAGCGGGAAGTATGACATTGAGTCCCAGGGATTTTAGTGCCTTCTTCAGTTCCTTTGTAAAAGTAGTTGTTATTTCTGTATCTTTGAGAGCGGAATTCTTAGCCCCTCGGATGGCTTTGGATCAGAGTATTTGTTAAGCAAATCTGAGGAGCAGGTATTTTGCCTTCCCTTCCGTCTATCAATACCTTGGTAAGCAGTACTTGGTCTCTTCATTTCCATTGATAATGTTCTGTCTCGATAGGAGATATTCTCTGTAGCTTCATTCTCTTTATTGGATTTGGGCGCTGCTCCTAAAAGTTATTCCGAAAATTACTTATATAAGAAGATGGAGTTATTGATTTGAATGGTTTATTTATCCCTTTCTCTGCTTTTACGTTTCTTGCTACCCTTTCTCTTGCTTGAACTATTAAAATTAGAGACAGTTCAATATAAGAACAAACAAATGAGCAATTGTACCTTCTCTTCTTGCTCCTCTGGTCTCTCTCGGTCATAAGGTGTGATGATGAAGATGGGGTATTCTTCAAAACGCTTTTGACGCCAAAATCAGGAGGCAAATAGTTATTATTTCTATTTTCCATATTTGAAAGACCTCTGTCTAAACATAATGATATTTCCCTTACATGTGTTGTTGCCACTCGTATCAAGCTTCTTTTTGAGATTGGTGCTCTCATCTAAATTTTGAGGTTAGATTTCTTTGAAGGAAAACTCCACGAACGAAAGTTAAAACAATACAAATTTGTGCATAAAGTGTTCGAGAGAAATCAACAGAAAGAAATGTAGAATCTATCTAGCTGTTACATTATACAAAAGAGTGAGATAATGGAGTTGTTCAACAAACAGCAACTGAAAATATGTATGAATCTCTTCCAAATGGATATGAGGTGTATCCTTAGAGATTGAAACCATATCAAATTTCACCTACCATATGTTATGAGAGATTTATTATTGGAATGCACTAAGTTCTGGTTTCTAGAGTGATGTAGGCTTCCTTTAAAATCCATTTTTGAATTCAGTAAAAATCAAAATTTGAAATATTTAAATTATCAACTTACCAGCACGTTAACGGGGTTTTGGGGTTTTGGGGTTTTGGGGTTTTGGGGTTTTGGGG